ATTTTTCACATTTTAGTTCTTCGACAATTCAAGATATGGTCGTACGATGTGTCACACAAATGGTGCATTCGCAAGCCGCAAACATCAAATCTGGTTGGAAAAATGTTTTCTCCATTTTTCATTTGGCTGCGTCCGATCATGATGAAGGAATCGTGGAACTCGCTTTTCAAACAACAGGTTTGTAGTTTAAGGAAGGTAATTTTTCTTCTAATCTTACCGCCGACCTGTCTGTTGTGTTCTTGCGTAAGGTTCTTGTATCGGTGCAAATTTTAAAATTTTAAAATAAAAATGGTTGTATATGTTTGAAGAAATGATGGTGAATCCTTTTCCAATCTTGGACTATTTAGACAACTGTAAAATATTATTAAATTAAATTCAAATTGAATTTGAATATCGTTTAAGTAAATGTGTTTCTCGGATGTGACAGAGAGCTTCGTTTATTTTGCAACAAGAATTTTATGTGTTTGTTCTTTTCCATGGTTATTCAGTCATATTCGTATAAGTTTTCGAGGTAAACTTTTATTTACCATAAAGTCGATGGATGTTCGCCTCATGATGCATGAATGAAAATTAAACGAGAGTTAGTGGAGAAATGAAATAAATATGAAACATTTTTTGTTGATACAAATTACGAGTGAAAAGGCAGAGTTTTATAAACTTTACTAGCCCTGTTTCTCTACTGTTTCAGCAGCACTTGCAAATCAAAGCTTTGACAGATTCATTTATCCCACAAGATTATCAGTGTATAAATTTCACATCCCCCATTTTCTCTTTGAGCCACGATTTTGAGAAATATTTCTCCGCGACCATCGACTCTTTCCAAGATGCCGTCAAGTGTCTCTCGGAATTCGCATACAACGCAAGTTTTCCGGACAGGAGTATGGAAGCAATAAGACTGATACAAAATTGCGCCAAATTTGTTTCCGAAAATCCTGTGGTACGACGATTGCAAATCTACTTTCTTTTCAACTTTGAAATGATTTAAAATTTTGCAAAATCACATCAAAGCTAACCACTTTGGATCAAATGAAATCCAAATCATCTATTTCAATCGCTTTTTCGTGTAGCATTTTCCAATGGCGTCTGTTTTCTTTTCTTTTATAAACAGATGTTTAAAGATTACGGAGTTGAGGATGCTGGGATATCGAAGCAGGACAGAATCTGGGTGAAAGGCTGGTTTCCAGTCCTTTTTGAGCTTTCGTGTATCATCAACCGATGTAACGTAGATGTCAGAACAAGGTATGGTGGAAATATTGAGTTGTATGTACTGTATAGATTAGTATGTATTGTATAATTTGAATGTGAGCTGTTTTCCATCCATCAACTAGAGGCCTAACTGTGATGTTTGAAATCATGAAAACATACGGGAACACGTTTCTCCAACATTGGTGGCGTGATGTGTTTAAAGTCGTGTTTTGAATTTTCGACAACATGAAACAGTTGACAGACAGATAAATTGGCAAGAGGTTAGAAAACTGTCATTATTGTGCTCTTATTATATGGCAAGCGTCACTTCCAGGTAAATGGCGCGCTTTCATTGGCTTAGAAACATTTTTGCCGGTCGATTATTCTCCCGTAATCGACCACGGTTCAAAACGCGTAGTTTATAATATGTCGTTATTGTTGTCTTTTTTTTTCTATGATTGCCATAAACACGCATTATATCGAAAAAGTCAACTTACATACACGACTTGAAATAAATATTATTCCAGTTCCACATGGAATAATATTTATTTCATGTGTTCACGTCTATCAACCTTCATTCCTCATTCAATTTTGTTTTATTTTTTTGTATTCGTTGCTTATTTTATTATATTTTAGAGGACCTCTAATAAGATAAATTAGCCCTTTGTTTGGGATATTCAAAAGTTCGATATTTACCGACAAATGAAAAAATCGTCTGAGCGTGAATACGGAAATGTTCAACCAACACCCGAGTGACATTTTTTAATTTTTGCATATATGTACGTTAACGTCGTAAAATCATCTCATTATTTTAGTTGTGCAGACGGAGAGGATGCTGTTCAATTCGTTGATCATTAAGTGTGTCGTTCAATTGGAACTTATCCAAATGATCGACAATGTCGTCTTTTCCCAAGCACCAGCAAGCGAGAAGATGAAGATACTATGGCTGAATTACAGGTCAGTTGTAATTACGGTCATTGTAGGTAATACTGAGATAAATTGCTTGCTTGTGATGTTGTTATACCAGAGCTCCCCTTGTTGGCATAACAAAGTTCTTAGCTGAAGCACAGAATATGTAATATACAGAAAAGACACTTGGCATCTTTAGTTGTTACGAATAAATTTAAACAATGAAAAAGTTTGTCAAAAATAATGTGCCAGGATTGTTACCATTGCACTTGACTGTATACAAGTAAGTTGTTTTTGTTTGATGTGTTAGGACACTTGGAGTCTTTAGTTGTAAGAAATAGATTTAATCTCGGAAACATTGTCATTTCGTTGTCTCTAAGCCATTACAATTGGATAGCACAAAATAAAGTTGCTGCAGAACGTTTTTCGTTACTTTCCTACTAAATTCCTCCCAGAATAATCTAGAGGATCCATACTTCAAAAAATTTGTCATTATTGCTATCCTTATCTGTCCACAGTACTTACTCATATCCAATCCTCCAAGTTCCCATGTGTCTTTTCACCAAAATCCTTTATCCCTCCATATGTCTATGTAGGTCATGTATTCATCTTATATAAAGTTCTATATTTCATATTCTTTGTTCTTAGAAACTCATTGCTTATGGTCATATTGTTGGCGATACACCAGACTCCATTGAACCAGAGAGGCGTTTAATTGACAGAATTATCGAGACTATTTGTACTTGCTTTACTGGTATAATTACTGATGTAAACGTTCAAATACAAATTATAAAGATATTTATAAAGAGTAATGTCAAAATGTTAAAGTATTTAATGAGGGAAATGATGTATCCTTAAGGAATTTAACGAGGGTAACGACAAATGTTTTTTTACATTTTTTGTCTAATTATTTATTATTTTTAATATTACGTCACCTACACCCCAGATATAACATAAAGTCCACAAAAAATATTCTCGTACTATATTGAACTTGCAGGAACGATGTCTCTTTCAAGGGAAAGAGCTATTTGTTATATAAATATAAGAAAAAATATGCTAGGAAGACAATTTGATCTTTTATAAAAACAGGACATTAATTTAATTTTCAAAGCCTTTATCAAACTTTCTATTTTATGAAGTTATTATAAATTACTTACAAAAATCATCCCAGAAAAGAGTATCCAACCATGTATCAAAACCGTATGAGGTACATACCCATATTTTTCAAGGAGTTTAATGAAGTTAATCATGTATTGAATCTAAAAGTATTGTCAAATTTTGTTAGATTCTTTACAATACGACAGTAAGAAATTGAAGGTCTGTTATGCCGATCGGTGCTTAGTACCTATTACATCAATACATCTCTTGATCTTTGACCCTGGAATTTGGAAAAAACAGTTTGGCGGTTTCCATTTGGACAATTTTTGGCCTTTATTCTCTTCAAGTTTTTTTTCAAATTTATACTGGAGCCTGTTGCACGAAGCGTGGATAGCGTTATCCATTGGATAGTAGTTTTTTAAATTTATACTGGAGCCTGTTGCACGAAGCGTGGATAGCGTTATCCATTGGATAGTAGTTTTTTAAATTTATACTAGAGCCTGTTGCATGAAGCATGGATAGCGTTATCCATTGGATAGTAGTTTTTTAAATTTATACTGTAGCCTGTTGCATGAAGCGTGGATAGCGTTATCCATTGGATAGTAGTTTTTTAAATTTATACTGGAGCCTGTTGCACGAAGCGTGGATAGCGTTATCCATTGGATAGTAGTTTTTTAAATTTATACTGGAGTCTGTTGCACGAAGCGTGGATAGCGTTATCCATTGGATAGTAGTTTTTTAAATTTATACTGGAGTCTGTTGCACGAAGCGTGGATAGCGTTATCCATTGGATAGTAGTTTTTTAAATTTATACTGGAGCCTGTTGCACGAAGCGTGGATAGCGTTATCCATTGGATAGTAGTTTTTTAAATTTATACTGGAGTCTGTTGCACGAAGCGTGGATAGCGTTATCCATTGGATAGTAGTTTTTTAAATTTATACTGGAGCCTGTTGCATGAAGCGTGGATAGCGTTATCCATTGGATAGTAGTTTTTTAAATTTATACTGGGGCCTGTTGCATGAAGCGTGGATAGCGTTATCCATTGGATAGTAGTTTTTAAATTTATACTGGAGTCTGTTGCATGAAGCGTGGATAGCGTTATCCATTGGATAGTAGTTTTTTAAATTTATACTGGAGCCTGTTGCATGAAGCGTGGATAGCGTTATCCATTGGATAGTAGTTTTTTAAATTTATACTGGAGCCTGTTGCATGAAGCGTGGATAGCGTTATCCATTGGATAGTAGTTTTTTAAATTTATACTGGGGCCTGTTGCATGAAGCGTGGATAGCGTTATCCATTGGATAGTAGTTTTTTAAATTTATACTGGAGCCTGTTGCACGAAGCGTGGATAGCGTTATCCATTGGATAGTAGTTTTTTAAATTTATACTGTAGCCTGTTGCATGAAGCGTGGATAGCGTTATCCATTGGATAGTAGTTTTTTAAATTTATACTGGGGCCTGTTGCATGAAGCGTGGATAGCGTTATCCATTGGATAGTAGTTTTTTAAATTTGTGAATGTGCATGGTTATATTTTGTTTATGATGATTAAACTTTGTAATTCTAGAACCAATATTGTATTTCATTTATTGTCCAGTTTCAATCGTTAATTTTTCCGTTTTAAGATATTTTTGAAGCGCTCAAAAACGTTGCTACTCAGTTCAATGGATGGCGTTATTCGACCTTCGTGTGACTGATCTCTTCTCCGGTAATTTATTGGTAAAGTCTCCAAAAATATAAATCTGGTGAGAACCATATATGGACAATGAACATGATCGTTGTCTACATTTCAGCTGTATCCAGTTACAAGCTGTGAATCAGAATGATCTCGTGATAAGCCCATCCTTTACATTTCAATGCTGTGTACATTGCAATACGAAGAAAGGCAAAATTGGAGAAATATTTCAATATAAAACTGTGACTCTACGTTGTGGAACGAAAAAATAAGTGTGGGATTGAAGAAATAGTCGCTTTGATCATATTTGGTGAGTAAAATTGTGTAAAACATTGATTTTAAAGCCTTATTGTTTAGCTACTCGTTGTATTGTAAGGTTTGACTAAATGGCAGAATACCGTCCACTTGGATTCATTGACTGTTCATCCACATTTTCAGTAGATACACAGATGATATTATGCCGTATATAAGACGATTCTAACTTCTGAGAAAAGAAAAATCAACGTGAAACGAAACTATAAGCTAAATAGCGCTACATCTATTGGACAATACGATAATATATATTTATGCTTAGTATATCAAATTGCGTTTTATCATATAAACACAAATGATCTGTTTATCTATCAAAACGACTATATTTTATTATTTAAATCAACCACGAACGATTTGCATCAATTATACATTACCAAATTGATATGTAATTATAGATTTATAGTGCCATTGTCGCACAACCTAAGCGTTCTGTTGTGCGGGATGCTAAATCACGATTCTTTTGACGACAAACGTTGGTTCATTACCACGAGTATTAAAATCAAAAAATGCTTATCCAAATCGTCTCTTAAAGACTTCAACTCGATGCGTTACAATGCATTGATCAAATGCGTCGATAAAATGCGACCATCAAAAATGCGTATTGAAACAACCAGAAACAGCGTTTGCAGCCTCTATATATACTAAACATTCAACAATATAAAATTACAAAGTGTCCTCTTTGCCACGATTGGAAAGAAAGTCTTCCTCAGCAACTCAATGCTTTAAACTTCCCATGAAAAATGCATGTGCGTGATTTAACGTAAATAGTTCACATTTTACCATGCTCTTACTTCTTTAGTAATGTTCGTGCTTACAGAAAGAGAAAGATACTTCACTTGTTTTTATTATTTATGAAAATTTCTTCCCGTATACTATTTTATACTGATAGGTTTTACATCGTCCATATTATTATTGATAAATTGATAAAATTTACGACAAGCAGGTCACGTTGCAAGAAAAACTGTCTGTTGCTCATTTCTTTTGCTGTTTTTCAGTTTCTCCAATTTTTATTAACATAAAACGGTTATAGCCGCAAAAAATTCAACATAATTTATGTATTTTTTTTAATGATTCTTTTATTCATTTGAAAATGACTGACTCAAGTAGTACCAACTATTGTCTGACTATAGCTGCTGATCTTTGGTTTGGAAACTCAAACTTTGACAAAAAATGGCCATTTGGATCGATATTTGGACACATTTTGGCCTATTTTCTATTCCAATAATTTTTCGGAATCATATTGGTAATTTATTATAAAAGTCTATGTAAAAACTAAAATCTGGTGAGAACCATATATGAACAATGAACATGATTATTGTCTACATTTCAGCTGTATCTAGTTACAAGGAAGTGAATGAGAATGATGTCGTGATGAGCCCATCCCTTACATTTGAATGATGTGTACATTACAATACGAAGAAAGACAAAATTGAAGAAATATTTCAATATAAAACTGTGATTCTACGTTGTGGAACGAAATAATAAGTGTGGAAATGAAGAAATAGTCGCTTTGGTCATATTTGGTGAGTTAAATTGTGTAAAACATTGATTTTAAAGCGGTATTGTTTAGCTACTCGTTGTATTGTAATGTTTGACTAAATGGCAGATTACTCGTCCACTCGGATTCATTGACTGTGCATCCACATTTTCAATAGATACACAGATACACAAAGCATATATTATACTATATTTAATATATTACAAGATGATTCTAACTTCCGAGAAAATAAAAATGAGCGTTAAACGAAACTATAAAGGCTGAAACACACTAGGCAGTCGCTTTAGTCGCTCGTCTAAAACTACCGCTCTGCGTGGTTACTAAGCCAGCAGCGTAGTCGCGTCATCTAGTCGCTTTCAAAGTTCAAATGTTTCAATGTTGAACTTTTGATTCGTGTAATAAAAATTAATGCCCAACATAAAGTTCTGATTAGAGCCATTGAAATAGACCAAAAAATATTGTAAAATTGAATTTATATGTAACGTTTTGTCTTTACTCAAGACATCTTCAGACAAATAATAAATAGGATGTTAAGACAAGATATTATATTTACAAAAAGGTCTTAAATTACTACTAAAGGAGGCGATGTCAAATGGATATATGACAAGGAAGTTAGGAAGTAAAATAAAGAGAAATCAAAAGAGGTTAAGTGGAATGGAGTTTCCTTGCACATTAAGTGAAGGCTTGTATTTATTGATTAGAAGGCTTTCATGAATGGAGAGTTCACACAAATCGTTAAAAGTGGAGATTATTTTAAAGTCGTTTAAGTTGGGGGTGTGTCCAGTTGCGTTAATGTGTGCAAGAATACTTGATAACGCAGGGTGGGAAACTTGGTTGCCTGTAAGGGGGGATATTCCCAAGTGCTCCGAAAATCTGGTGTGTAGATGACGTGTGGTTTGACCCACATACGAAGCGTTGCAGCTTCGACACTTGAATAAATAGACTACACTAGATCTCAGAGGTTTGGGAAGCTTGTCCTTTAAAGGGAAGAAAGAAAAGATACGTTGGGAAGGACGGAAAACAAATTTAACAGATATATGTGGGAAGGCTGCAGCACAAAGGCTATTGATTTGTGTGCAAATTTGAAGGGAGTGTATGCCGGTGAAAGGAAGACAAAAATAAATGGGCATTTTATGAACAGTCAAGACAGGTGGTTTGGGGGCAAAAGTGTTGTTAAGGAAGCGACGTGTGATTTGGTCAATTATACGTGAAGGAAAACTGTTTTTGGCGAGTGACTTTCTGGTAAATTCGAGTTGTGTATGAAAATTTTCGTAAGTAGAACAAAGGTTGAAGATACGGTGAAGTAAGCAGGAGACTAGTAAGTGGAATGAAGCTGTGGAAGTTGGTGAAGAGGCCAGTGAAAGTAGGTTTGCGGTAGACGGAAGTGGTGAATTTTCTATTAGTGCGAGAGATATCAATGTCAAGAAATGAGAGCTTTCTGTTTTGTTCGACTTCAGCTGTGAATGTGATGTTAGGGTGTTGTTGGTTCAGATAGTCAAGAAAGAAAGGGACGTGATCGGAGGAATGAAAAAGTAAAAAACATTAACATAAGTAGCAACGTTTTTGAGCGCTTGTAAAATATCTTTAAAGAGAAAAATAGAGAAACGTAGCGTTGGTAAAGTAGTGGTTTGAATGAAGAAGGACATTTATTAAGCCAGGATTGTTCGTGAAAGGACATGAATATATCAGCAAAGAGAGGGCCCAATAGACTACCCATAGCCACACCATCAATTTCTGGTACTTTTACCCGTTAAAGAGAAGTGACAATTCTTAACAGCTAGAGAGAGTGGTTTTTCAAATTCTGTTGCAGTGAGTCCGTTGAAGTACTGGTGGTTGTTAAAAATGCTTTTGGATATTATTTGGATGATTTCGTCAACAGGTATGTTAGTAAATAGGGATACGACATCAAAACTAGGAAGGACAACATTACTTGATTTGATATCGCAATTTAGGATTTCTTCAACAAAGGAGAAAGAGTCTTTGATGATGAGGTTGCTTTATAGTGAAAGGTTTTAGGAGTGGAATGAAAAACTTTGCTAGTTTATACGAATAGTGATTAATGGAGGAAAGAATGGGTCTGAGAGGGATGTTACATTTATGTATTTTAGGAAGACCATACAACATACCTATTCGTTAACCAGTGGGGTAAAGTTCTTTGTAAGTTTCTTGGCCGATAGATTTAGCATCGCTTTTAATAAAGACTTCACTTGATTTTCTCGTTGTAAAGTGACTTTAACTGGATCTCCATTAAGAGGTTGAAACTTTGTAGTGTCAAATAAGAGTGCGTCCATTTTCTTTATGTAGTCGTCTTTGTTAAGTATTACGATGCCATTTCCTTTGTCAGGTTTAGTGATGAGGATGGACACACTCTTATTTGACATTAAAAAGTTTCACCAGTAGTAGTAGTTTGTACTGAGTAAATATTCATGTATTAGTAGCTATAATAAAGGCCAAAATAAAAAGTTTAAGTTATGTCTGTGTCTGTAACAAACAGAAATCTTCGGCATGTTCAATAGACGACACGGTGAAAGTCGCGATTCAAGCGATTGACGCGTGTGCATCAAGTCACTTTGGACGCGCGACTGAAGCAACTGCCTAGTGTGTTTCAGCCTTAAAACTAAATGGCGCTATGTTTGATTGGATAATACGATAATATATATTTATGCCTGGTTTAGTAAATTGCGTATCATCTTTTTAACAAGAATGATCTGTTTACCTATCAAAACGACTATATGATAATCTTTATATCAACTGCGAACGATTTGCATCAATTATACACTACCACAGTAATAAGTAAATATAAATTTAAAATGCAATCGCACACGCAGTACTCTCATGATAATGCACAATTAAATTTATTTAAATTGATAAAATTTTTTGACAAAAAACTGTCCGTTTTCCTTTTCTTTTGCTGTTTTGCATTTTTTGATGATTCTTTAATTCTTTTAAAAATGCCTGACATGGAAGTCGACTAATTCACTGATTTCAAGAATCACAGGATTTTATCATCAAAGAGGAATCAAGTTAGAAAAAAAAACGCTTGGATTTCTTACACATAAGATATTTATTTGTTTTGAATAAAAGTGCGGTTTTTATCTTTGGACAGCAACTTGTGTCAATCGCTTCGTTTGATGTCATTTGATAAATTTTTAAACATTTGCTGTATAAAATTAAAAAATCAGTTCGATTTTGACGAACAGCTTATTTTGCTCACATTGTCACATTCAACATATGAACATTATGTAGCTAGACCAAAAAAATTTGTGTAAATACATGCGCACCTAGAATGTTGCTTTTTGTTAAATATATTGAGTCAAATCTATTTTTTTATTGTGTCAAGTCGTTTATATTACTGGATGCTGAATTCCATGATGTACTATCAACTACTGGGTCTTGTTACTGAGAAGAGTGAACGTATTTTTTAACGAATGAAAAAAAGAAAATAATTATTTGTAAAATTACTTGCAATACTACTTGTTCATCAATCCAATTAATTTTGTGCTCATTTTGTACATTGCAAATTAATGCTTTTTGCACAAACTCCTTCTTCATTTCTAGCTTGAAAAATGGCTTCACCACCTAAAAAAAAACTGAAGTTTGAGGCAAACGGATCTCGTTTAAGTAAACTTTTGATAAATAAAGGAAAACAAGCCTTGACACATACATTGCAATCTTTATTAAAGCCATCAAGTTTAGCTGGTAAACTTAAAGATCCCTCTACAAAGAAGACACTAACATCTTTGAAATTTAAAGTCATCAAGAATGAGCAATGGGATCTTCTTTATCCGTCTACTGGCTCACCTGACATTGTAAACTTTGACATCACTTTATTAACTGTCTTATTGCGTAACATATGTGGTCTAACAGCGCCACATAGTGGATGGGACAATCTTCCTTCCTCTTCAGATACTTCAAACTCAGCAAATATTGCAAGAATAAAGTTTTATCGAAACAAAGTGTATGGTCACATAACTACAACTAGTGTAAATGACAGTGACTTTCAGCATTTGTGGCAGGAAATTTCAAAAGCATTGGTTGGTTTGGGTATTCAACAAACTGAAATAGATGAATTAAAGAAAGCTCCCCTCAGTGCCGATGAGGCAAATTATATTGAAATGTTAAAAGAATGGTATGAAGAAGACCGAAAGTTAATCGATGTTGCTGAGAAAACCAACGAAAATGTAAAAGAATTAATAAAAAACGTTGAAGCTATGAACAATAAATTAGAAAAAATCGAAGAAAGCATGCCAAAAAAAGTTGAAGTAGAAATTAAACAAGATATGGCAACAAACGCTGATGTAACCAGACAGAGAGAAATGAAACAGGACAAAATATGTTCTGATCTCGAGAAGCTTGGAAAGTGTAAGTTTGATGGTTTTATAAAAGATCTTAACAAGAAATACCTTGAAGACACTAGACAATGGTTATTTGAAAAACTCGACACTTGGTTTAACAATGAAAGTGAAGATGCTTCTAATGTCATGATTTTGATTGCCGGTCCTGGCTTTGGTAAAAGTGTGTTTGCTGCTGAGTTGTGTCGACGATATTCTGAAAAGAAGAAACTTGCTGCTTGTCATTTCTGCAGGTACAATCGATCAGATGAGAGGAATCCTCGAATGTTGATAGAATCATTGGCTAGTAGCATGTGTGATACAATATCAGATTTTAAAAGTAAATTGAATGAAGAATTAGAGAGAAAACATTCCTACGAATCAGTCACCGATGCATTCCGTGTTTTATTAAATAATCCATTGCATTCATTTGAAGATCATAAACCAATGCTTTTGGTTATTGATGCCTTAGATGAAAGCCAAGTTGATGGCAAAAGTGAATTGTTGGAATTGATTGCAGAAGAGTTCGACCGACTGCCTAAATGGATTAAAATCTTCATCACCAGTCGTGCAGAACTTCCTGTTAAAAAGGAGTTGAAAGAAATGAATCCTCTGGAAATTACAACTAATCCTCGTGATGAAAACAACGAAGAAGACCTGCACAAGTATTTGAAACATCAGTTGAATGATCGTGTGCCGAGAAATCCCTTCTTTCCTCAGGACGAAGTTCTTCAGTTATTAGTAAAAAAATGTGAGGGATCATTTCTTTATGCGTATTACGCACAACTGAGCTTCAATAAAAAAAATATTGAGCTTACTTGCGAAAACATTCGACAATTGGTCCCTAGTGGGTTAAGCGGTGTTTACACAAAGCAATTTAAAAGAGTAAAAGAATTGTTAACGAAGGAAAGTCCCAGAAATTCTGTTATCTCAGAAACTACTTTCATGCGATTTCTTGAATTGTTGGCTGCCTGTCGGGAGTTTTTACCATTAACTTTATTGTTTAGCTATTTAGGTATTTCTGGTGACATCAAGTTTGAAGTCCGCAGTAAAATCATTGAACTGTTATCTCAAATTTTGCCAGTTTACGATGATTTTTTAACCGTGTATCACAAATCTCTAATTGATTGGTTGAAATCAGATGGTTACGAACAGCATGAGTTTACAGTTGATCCAAAAAATGGTCATAAGTTCTTATGGCATGCTTGTGAGAAAGTGTTTAAACACATCAAGTCGATGAACATTTTTGAAGATCCGATGAACACTGTTATGATTAAATATGCTTTGAAGAATGGATTCCACCATATGATAGAATGTGGCGAAAATGTTGACTTTAGCTGTTCAGTAGATGTCAAAGTGGTTTATGCGAGGTTAATGTGTGTGGAAGACTTACCATACAATTTGCATACCATTTGGGTTGAATTGTTTGAAATCATTAAGAAACGACAAACCTTCTTGAGAAAAGATGTACTTGAGGAACTACTATTTTATTTGTTTATGACGAGAAATCAATCATATACGTATGATAATAGCTTACTTTACTTACAAAGTGTTGCAAACACAATTCATGGCAGTAACGAAAAAAGATTATTGGCAAGGGATTTATTGAAACAAGGAAAGCTTGTTTGGTTTGAGGATTTAGACTCAACATATTTAACAAATCATCATCATTTGACTGTCTCCTTGCGTGCTAACGTTACATCTCTTTGTGTGTCGTCCAATGAAGAACTTCTTGCTGTAGGATATGAAAATGGTCAAATATCTATTTTTGAACTTCCAGAATTCAAACAACGATGCACTCTTGGCACTGCACTCGATGATTTAAGGTTGAATAAGTGGTATGATGTAGACACATTTATGTCCCTGTATGACATCTATGAATATCCAAGAGTAAAGAAGTTTTGGTTTGTACGTGGAAGAATCTGTTGTTGCTCTTTTTCACCTACCGGAAATAGACTGGTAACTAGTGATGGATCTACAGAAGTAAAGTTGTGGGATGTTAACAATGGACGTTTGTTATTATGTTTACAGTCAGATGATGTCGCTAATCGTTGCTCTTTCTCAGATTCTGGTTTGTTTATTACAGCAAGATATGATGGATATTATATGAAAGCAGTGTTCACTGCATGGAATTCATTAACTTTGCAAAGAATCGATCGACGCTGCGTTGTTGATTACCAAAAACTACAATGCACCGATAAATATTCAGAGTTCTTTGTTGCAAAATCTATCAAAACTTCGTGTGTTTTTCAATTCCCAAAGGCAATCGATATTTTTTCAAGTAAAAAGGAACGTCCACCACGTTTACATTCAATAACACACCATTATCGTGATTGTATTTTTTATCATAAAAACCAGGTTGTAAAGCTTTCTGAAATCACTCAGTTGACAAAATACAACGATCAAGGACAAATCGAGTTTTGTTTACCAAAGGTTAGGTGTCCATGTTCTCTGAGGACTCTTGAAAAAGTCCATCCAATCTCGTTTAAGGAATTTTACGTTGTGCCGTATTTTTCCATGCTTAAAATTTTCGAAATTGATCATCTTTGGAGACCTTCATTTATCTTTGAGGAATTTGAAATTAAATGTTGTTGTTTTTCACCGGATGGATCTTTTTTTGCTGCTTTCGCTGTTGGTGACCACGTCAACATTCATATTTGGAGCATTGAACGTTGCACTATTATTCAAACTGTACCAATGCAACTGGAGGATGCATTTGGATGTTGGTGGTCAGATGGTTTACTGTGGATATGGGATGGTTCTGATCATCTTATGAAGATATTAACTTCGTCTGAAAATTTTGTAGATTCTACTCAAGCAAAGCATGTTAACATTGGATTTGAACCTAAGGAAATCTTAACATTTGGTGATGTCTTAGTTTGTATTGATGAACTAGATTTTGTTCAAGTTGTTAGAATTAACAAGGGTGAGATACAATACAACGAAAGACTTCCTGTCCAGAGTTTAGAATTAAAAGCAGTAGCTGTAACACCTGATAATTCTGTTGTTTTAACAGTAAACGAAACAGAATACACATTATGGAAATGGGGAAATAACAACAATGAACTTTGCTTGAAACCTTGGCATACTGCAGAAATATCGATAACGTGTTTTATTAAAAAGTTTGTTCGGAAACAGATATTTTTAACTCGTCTTAAAATCCGTTGCTCTATAAGTGATAGTAACCAAGCGGTCATTGCATTCTTTTTTAAAGACGAGTATTCCTACTGCATAACTGGCCTTTATGTAATTAATGTGCATAAAAACAATGATGTGAGTACGATTTGGCATTGTATCGATGATGATTTTTTTTTGTTGACGACAATCGTATATAAATCGTATTTTATGGGAAAATCAAATTGGAAAGCATTGGTTGCTGTAGATGTGAACAGTGGTAAAAGGTGTGCTGAATTATACTCATCAGATACTGTATCTATTATAACTATACATTCCAACACAGGAACTTTAGCTGTAGTAACAAATGGTGGATTTGGATACAGAGTTAAATTTTTAAAACTCAATGTACCTGAATAAATCCACAATTCAACCTTTGTAGTTATATTAACCTATTGTATTTACTAACAATACATATCACTTAAAACGAACATAAAAAGTTCTTTATATCACAAAAGGACAGTTATTTATGGTATCAACAACAAACTCAAAATATTGTAGAAAAAATTGTCCATATCCTTTGTTTTAACCGTGGAAAAACTGTCAGTTTTTAATCACGGACACAGAGAGAGAGATTAGTTTTTTGTAATGTCAAGTAAAGATCTTTTTCATCCTATGATTCCCGTCAACTTTCAAATTTATATTTGGAGAATTTAACACTGTAACATTGTCAAAGTTGTGATGAAATTGAGAATATCACACGAAGATGTTGATTGTCGTAAGGATGGTCGCTTGTTTTACATGTGAAAATTACCAAAAGTGAGAAACCTTTGATCTCTGAACGAACTTTATGTTGATGGTTTACTTTTTAATACAAATGTATGGTCAGATAATTTGGTTATTTTTATTATATATTAAACGTTCACTACATAGAAATGAAAGAATGTCGACAACTCATTCATTGTGAGTCATTTGACAATATGGTGTTGTTATAGATGAAAATTATTTTGTTTAAATTATACAGTGACTTTCTTTGAACATTCTTTCAAAAACTGTGAATAAAATTTACCTTACGCATGTCAATATTGTGGAAACAAGTTTTGTATGATGTTAAAATTCACATTTATAAAATACCATCATGATGTCATGTCATATCATTGGGTTTTATGGTCATTAGTTGAAAAATATGAGAGATCATTTTTGTACGTTTGTTATGACCTTAAAGACAGAAATTGTTATATACTGTCAACAATTCCCGTATGTAAAAACAACATCATGACGTCATGTCAATAACTATGATGAAAATTAATGAATAAAACTTTTACGATTTAGACACAAGCTCATTTAAACTAAGGAATTGAATTTTTTTTAGTGAAATTTTTTTGAGTAAAATATTGAAGAATGATAAACTTCACTTTCTTGTTTCATTTTTTAAAATAAAATTGATCATTATAATGTTGATGGTAATACAACGTACAATATATAGCTATAGTTCTAACTTGTAACAATTGTACACAACAATAAACGTTTTACTGATAATTTTGAAGATCCATGTGCTTTAAACACTTTAATGTAACAGATTTTTCATGTTCTAAGTTTGGGTCATCTTATGAACAACAGGTACGTATAGCGTACATTTTGTTGTCTTTTACTGATTAGTAAACAACTAAGGTAAACATTGGAGTTTTTCAAAATAAACATGTTTCAACATCTCGTGATGTCATCTTCCGTATTAGTGACAATATTATGTATATGATACAACAAATATATGGTAGTAATGTGATACAGTGAGTGACAGTTTATTTAAATATAAGTAGATTATATACAGTAAAATATTTACATGAATTAATGATAAATGTATTTACAAGTTCTCTAATTTAAGATTTTAAAATCTTAAGTTTTTAAACTAACTAAGGACAGAGTAATAAAATTAGGGCAACCTCTCGAGCAGGTGCAACTCTCATCCTTTGGTCTCTGGCCTGCACTGCTCTGCTTTTGAGTTCTCTCAAAGTTCATAGAAAATTTAACCTGCAGCGATAGCAATTCTATACAGTAAACAGGGTCTTGTTTTAGTTCACAAATATAAAGTTCGATGTTTGAAACGGGCGTAAAAATTTTGTTCAAAGAAGTTAGAGGATTAATTCTTGTATGTTTGAAAGGTCATATGCACCTCGAGCCAATAAAAATAAAAAGTTTTATCATGACGTCAATTTCAGAAGTGTTTAAATTCGTATGTGTTTACTTTAACGTCAGTCAAGTCACTTTAACTTTATAGAGAGGAAATGGAAGTACTGTGTATTTACTGGCGAACAGGCGAAGTAAGAAATTTATGGAAGAAATTAACAGGTCTTGTTAAAACCTTCGTAATGTGAAAGATTTTACTATTCGCGACTAAAAGAGTTAAATTTAGAGTGGGAAATAAGTTCAGAAAGGATGTCCATGACGTCTGTACTGTATTGGTTAAATATTGAGGTTACACCACAAATGGAATGATAAAATGTTATTAAAAGAACATTGTATAACATGTATGAACATTTATGTTGGACTATGAAAACTGACTATATTCTACAAATATGAAAAAGAGGCAAATGCAAATGAGGAGAATGGAGAAACATGATCCAGGTTTTAAAGTTCGTAATTAGAGTTGACAAGTTTTAAATTTAGTGTGCATGAGTATGAGGTTATTATGAAGGATCGCGGTTATCTATTTTTACAATTTGAAGATAAATAAAAAAAATATGTTTAAACTAGGATTTTGTGATTAAATCTTTCAATTTTTTGCTATCAATATAAGAGGCCAAGTGCTGCAAGTAAATAGTTGGTTTTCACTCGTTATTTTTTTTTTAAATGCATACTAAAATATTTCAGTTTCTAAAAAAATTACAACACAATAGTCTATTTTAAAAAGCGTTCATTGAATTTCTAAGAGAAAAAAATGTCGCTAAGTAATTGCACGAAGCATAAAAACTTATGCGATCAACAAAAAAACAAGAGACACCAAGTAACCGGAGTCAGATTGGAAAAGAAAAGTTTTAAACTACGACGTTATTTGAAACTGAATTAAAGGTTTTACCAAAATCAAAGGAGACCACTCGAACAAAATCTGTATGCTCGTTCAACCATTTTAACCAAAGATACCGACGTTTGTAACACTTACCACTTAACTAACATATATTACTGAAAGTAGTTAACAAAAAACGGAAAATGCCAAATGAGGAATTAATTTAACCTAGTGCAGAGAAGTCTATACCTCCTCAAAGGAGCCTTTGTTAAAAAATATTATATCTTTTCTTACATGAAGTACAACAACTCAATGTTTTCTGTTTCTAGTTTGTTATTTTCATTTTTATTTGGGGGAGAAACTTTTCCTTCTTGTTTCAACGTAATAAACCATATTTAATTATTTGTACTTTGCTTGAAGTTTTCTCTTATGCCAAAGAAGACAAGTACCTCCAAAGTTTTAACGCTTCTACCAAGGTATTTATATAAACAACAAATATTTGAAATACCATCGATCAATTTTCTATAAAAGCGATTGTGTTAAGTAGCGTAGTCAGTTCTCAAGTTTAGTCACGCTATGAAAATTTCGGAACTTTATGATCATTTATTTCTTTGGAAACCTTTTGTTTTCATTGAGAGTCTTTTACTGATCGTCAGAAAGTTTAATAAAATCAATTGTGTTTTTTTATGTACACCGTGAATGTTTAAGGACATCAAAACTCAATGTTCTAAAGCTATTCATCCGACATCACTATTTACTTAATAAAAACTTAAACAGTGAATATTGTTATAGTTGATAGCTCGACAAAATAATGCGAACGTGGCATCATCGACATTCATTCATTGTCATTGATAACTCGTAGCAAAATTCTTTCATTTTCCTTATTTTGGTCGCACAGTTTGTGTAAATTTTTTGTGAACTCTTCGAGAGTGTAGTTTTTAATTCATTCTTTGCATAGCCATAGTTTATCGCTAGTTTTGAAAGTAGAACTGAGTTGATATTACTTTAATTACCTTGTTGAATTTTTGTTGTAAATTTTTCATGTGAGATTCAAAATTTTGTTAATAAACAATTGTTTTGTGCATATGAACACCTTCACTGCCCCATTCATATAAATACAAAAACAAATAGTTCACCTTAGATAATAAACTCAAAAGAACATATAAAGTGTGAATAGACTATTAAACAGACAGTTGTAACATTTTGAAAGATCCAAAACATTCTTTGATAATTTTCTTTCCTCCACATATGTATAGTCTTGTAGTAACAATGGAAGTATTAAATGGCCGTAGGATATTTAGCTGTATTTAAGAAGTTGATATTGTCATATTTTTGTAATGTACCAGAATCAAGAAATATAAAATTTCATGATGCCTATTTTGTATTATTTTCTGATCAAAATAGTGCAAGCTGATTGATGAAGGGTAAGTATACTTGCTAGTAAATTATATTTTTATATAAAATTCTTTGTAGCATAACATTTCTTTTCCTGTTAATACAATACAAATAGTAGAGTAATTTGATATGGATATGGTTTCAAATTCCATTCCATTGATGTAGACATAGTTTTAAACTTATGTCATAAGTGATAAATCACTGGAAAATACTAAAAGACATGAATACAAACACAAATCTGTATTTTACTGTACATATTATCAATGCATTATTTGATCATGAAGTGCATTTGAAAACATTTTCTTGTCTGCATTCTCAGATATTCAAACTCTAAATATATAGTTTATTTATCTGTTCTAATTTGTCATGTAAAATTTTAAATTTTAAAGATGGCATTCATATCAGTAGCCATATGGTCTGTACTAATATATAATAGTTTGGTTGTAATAAAGTGAATGATTTAAACCTGGGAGTATTGTTACATGTTTGTAGATGTAGATTGTTCAGATTTGTGCAGTCATGAGAAGGATTGTTGTTGTTGATGTTAATTGATGTTTTGTAATTCTTAGTGGTAGTCATCTCCAGAATAAAGTGAGGATTAAAAGTCAGGTTTTCCATATTTGTTGTCAGGTTCATACGCCATCATATATTGTGTGTACAGGAAATTTATCTGTGTGTGAATGTCAATTGTGTATTGTCATCATGGATTAGTCCAAAGTAATGTTTTTTGTTGCTCATTTTTTTCATGTTATTGCTGCCACCCTGGGGCGCGCACATAATCATGACATTACTGGACCCAGTCCTTCTGCCAGTCTATATCGAGGTGAAATCTCAATTTGTTTCTGTCTGTTGGTTTCTTTTTTCTCCAACGGGGGGGGGATTTTTACAGAATGAGGGGTAGCTTACAATCACAACAAAGTAGAACATTTGGAAACATTTGAGATATTTTGTACTTATTTCTACTTTTATTTAAGGTTTGAGAAATTGGCGATAAACTGTCGACATGATTACAATTCTTTACAAAGTTCTTTCAAACATGGTAATCCTCCTCCACGTTATCATTATGAAAACAGAACATTTCATAACGTCAGGTGATTATTATCTTACTGTGTTTATTTTAATCTTTAAAAACCATTGAGTGAATGTATTTTCTCTTTTCTTTTATTTTGAGTGGATTTTGAATAAATTTCTAACTAGAAATAGCGTTTTACATTCTGCTCTTAATGTCAATTGAGATTTCATAATTTGCGTAATTTCTTTCAGTGTTGGACACTGTGGGGTGGAGTTAGGATAAATAGGGTTTTGATACTACTTAGGGTGAGGGATTTGTTAGGGTGAGGAAGGAGAAGATTCATGGTGATTGTGTGCAACGCTTTCTTAC